AGAAAAAATCCTTATTCTCTCTTTTGGATGATATATAAAAAAGACAAAAAATGAAAGAAATCACTAAAATATGAGGATATTTATGTGATATAATCACCAACCTTGTTATCTGAGTGCATGACTCGGCATAGGCTACAGCGTATGCTCCAGTTTGGATGGCAGTAATGAGGAGCACCTGCTCGAAAGAAGTCGTGAACGTGACCGAAAAATAGCAGATGATCAACGTGACCATAGCGATTTGCAGCAGAGTTCGTGGGCTTGCTCTGCGTTGAATGACCGGCAGCACAAGGAATTGAATACCAAGCAATGAGATAGCCATGACCAGTAGCACAATGGCTGAGTCATTTGTGTCCTTCATGAAGGAACGCAGAAGGAAGTTTCTTGAGATCATCTCGTAGCAGACGTAGGAGGAGATGACAATAGCGCGAAGGATAATTCCCTCTCTTAGAGCAGTATTCTTCGTGATCATAGGCCAATAATCTTGTGGGCGAAGACGTGCAGTTGCCAATCGTGGAATAGAGTGAGTAGTTGGCAATAGGAAGACAAGTACAGGCATCAATGTAAATAGCAAGGCACCACCACAGATGAATTGTGAAGTTCGCAGAGACGTGTATGCAGCGATTTTTGAGCCGATGATTGGCCCGACAAACATGGCCGCTGCCTGAAAAAAGGAGGATTAGTTCGGGTCACATACTACTGCAAGTTAAATGCTTCCATTGGCGTCATTTCGCTTCTATGTTAAGGCTACCTTCTCTCTGAGGGATAAATTGATCCGCTGTGCTTATCAGGAAAACTCAAAATTTTTCATGAAAGTTGTGCTCCGTATTTCATGAAGTGAAAAGTTTTTCATTTGTTATCGCAAGAGTACTGAATTACGGGCAAAAGTTTGTTGAATTTTTCATTTCCTATTCTGTTCCGGGAAACTACCCATAATTTTAGAGGACTTTTGCCCATACTTCAGCACTGTTCTGATAACTTCCGAAGCGCGCTGCGACGTCAAACAGCAGTTCTCAAAAAATAAAACAACTCCATTTCTAATGGAAGGCTAGCAGTCCCTGGATTGCATATTGAGCGCTTTTGTCCTCATCACTATATAGAGGTGGTTTAGTGACCAGAGCACGTTTTACGCTGGGTAATCCATGGCGGGGAAGGGTCGCGTTTGGTCGCTAGAGGAGGAAGACCCCCTCTCCCCGCTCAACGGCAGTTTTTTTGAGGAAAAAGTGGAAAATTTTTGGATTTAAAACAAGAAAAAGGCAGTGGGAGTTGGTGAAAGTCAGTTAATTGGAAGGTGGGGTAGGGAAGGGGATGTTGGAAGGTAGGGTGGGGAAGGGGATCGTACCAAAAGGGAAATTCGAGGAGCTCATATTTTGCAAAAAATCTCCCAAATGCTGGATCGCTTTCCAATTTTCCCTACAGGTGACGACGTGACAGGTAGCGCCGCATCCCATGAACCTGGGCCAAATGCCGGGTCAGCTCCCGTCCGGTCCAGCCAATCCTTCCATCGCTCTGGGGCCAGCAATTTGGAACCAGACTCATCCGGAAGAATAAAAGCCCTGACTTGCCTAGCAACAAGTCATTGCTTCGGCGGAAGTCCTGTCAGAAGCCCCTATGTTCTCTAATACAAGCAGAGTAGGCGGCTGATCTTTGAAAAGCATAGTCAACGCGAGAGTGTTTATATCCTAACTTTTTTTAACCGTTACTTTCTTTCAGTAATCTTCCCAGCAAATTTAGGGTCATTTTTATCCCACCCGTCACACTTTGGAAGAATGACGTCATCCCATTTTGGATCGTGTTTCTGTGCCCACATGACGGCAGCAAATACAAGATTTGACATCGATTCACGCAGTCACAACGGAATCGGCCAGAAAGGCTCGCTAGTGCAGGATAGAAAGTCAGCCGTCGCAGAGATGCAGTCGTTAACATTCATGGCGTCCAGTTCTGTGCGAGGGATGACCACTCGATCACATTTTTCTTCCATTAGGCATGGCAACGAGATTCATTTCTTCGCCGAGCGTTAGTATTCTCAAAGATACAGTATGAACAAGGGTAGAATGAATGGGGCCCTCTTCAAGTAGGCCGTTCAGTCGGGGAAAACTCAAGGGTGTTCGAATTAGGAGCGCAATTAGGATGAATGAAGCGATTTCGATGATTTCACCTGCGGAACGGTAAGCCTCATGAGAGCAGCTGTTCGTTCCCTTTCCGTAGTTACGGTGGCCAAGTACATTTCTGCAGTGCTGTCCAGTTGATAACCAAAGCGTAAAATCTTAAATATTCAGTCAATTCTTGTGGAAGGTCCAGCAGATGAAGAGTAGGCCTACCTGCAGGAAAAAGAACCCATACCAAGATTTTGAAAGAGCAATTCCAGAATAATAAATGGATGTGAAAATAACCGATAACATAAACATTGCTTTTGGTCCGGCTGTGTCGGCCATCTGAAAAGAAATGTCAACATTGTGAATGTCACTGAAAACGTTGTAAAGGTTTGAACCATAAAAATTAATGGAAATATGCAAAATAAGAAGAATATTAATTGCCTTTTTACCTGTCCGAAAGCTAAAGCACCGAGTGCATTCCATACACTTCCAAATGCTTGAATATAGCCCAAATCCACAATGGTCATCACTTCTGTTGTGTCCCATTGAAGGAACGACAATAACGTCGTGGTCCATTGTGTACCCAAATGCCATAGCCCGAATATCAGGCATAGCACGAGCATAACTCGTTGCCGTTTTTCCAGCGACATTTTGTAATTATGTAGTTATGGCAATAATATAACTGAAAAGCGTTCTTAGACACACTTGGAAATAAAACGGCAAGTTGGACGGCTATAGCAGGTAGGGGTTATAGATATCCAGGATGAGCAACGCAGCTACGGACTGGTTGTGACCGGCGCTGGCGATGCAAGACATGCTTGCTCCGCCCTACGCCGTCCTATTTTCACTTTCCTCTCGTCGGCTACGTTCTCTGACGCAATACAGGTTTCCCGCGATGAGGCGCACACGATCGGTTTGGTGACTTTTTCGTAGCGTCGACGTTCTTCGGAATTGTTCACGCTCGGCGAATTTGAAGTAGTAGCCATTGACGGGAGTGCAGATTACACTGCATTCCTGTCCTACTTCAAACAATTTTGGGAATGACGTACCTGAGGTGTGTGGAACAACTCCGATAACTTTCATGTTATTCGAGCGCGGTGGAACGGTACTATTCAGCTGTGACATTCAAAAGAAGTAGCGTTCGGACACCTCCCTTAACTTTCCGAATTAATCGCTTTCATTAAGGATCTCATTTCGGTGAATATCTATCAG